AACGAGTTACATCCGTAAATATACTGAGAAAAGCTCTAATAGTTTCGAGACATAAAGGGACTCTTCATCTTTAGCTACGAGCGCGGTCAGAGCGAAACTAGTGGATTTTTTCTCAGTAATTTACTTAAGTGAGTAAATCGTTACTTTTTTAGTTAATTTATTATGTTTCTGTTATTCTACGAAAAGCTAGGTAGAAGACACACACTAACTTTTCCGGTACTTGGAGATATTTAAGCCCACCTAATAGGAGATGAGAATATTCCCAAATATCGTTCACAATTCCAAATTCCGTGCTAGTACCACAACAATTTCATTAAACATCAAACAAAATTAGTTTAAACTTAAGATCAAACGCTAAACCAAACACTTACTACCAGTAGAAAACAATACCGCTAAAGAACTATTCCTTATGTCATTCGAACTAAAGATCTCTAATTTCACAGTCAGTGGAGTTACTGAGAGTGTTCAACAAAGGACCTTTTCATATTATCTGTAAAGGGATTACAGCACAATGCCACTCGTTGACTAGGTGACGTCGAATCTGATCGCTCTTGTGACACTCGCGGCATTATTGTTTGATAAAAAGTATAAAAAGATTACGTAAATTGGTCTTGTGGTGCTGTGTTGGGAGTTCTGTACAAGACTCCACAGTTTTTGCTATAAAGAAAGTGTTAGATTGGGAATCTGATCAAAAAGTATTAATGCTGACGCTGCAGACTTCGTACCGTCTAAATTGTTTTTCTCAATCACCTTTTAATTCTTTCCTATACATCTACAAGTCCGAGCGTACGGCGAGTCGCGTTCCGCGCGCGCCTCAAAGAGCCATCAGACCACTACAGATGGGGCCCAATAGGGCCGATGCCGATTCGGAGTCGCGGAGAACCTAACGGGTAACCGGGGCTCCGGCTCGACGTGCAGGAGAAGGAACGGAGTGGTTTTTAGTCAGTAAGAGTCTGACACTCCCTTCCGCCTCACCCAGGCGGGAGCAGTCATTCGATGATTTTCCCCCCTTAAAAAAAATACATCTCCAAGTATTAGAAGACTAAAATTAGCCAAATCAGTTCAGCTATTGCGATCTCGAGTTTTAACGAGAACGGAACTTCATTTTTATTTATATAGATGTTTTGTAGTATATAAGAAACATTGTTTTCCTCATCATCTTTTGTTATAAGGGAGCATAATATTAATGAAGACTAATTAATTGTAAAGAAAATTATCTCTTGTAAATATACAATGGAATCGTTTATCAATATAATATATACCTCTATATACCATTTATTACAGAGACACACGACATATTCTGAAACCAATTTAAAGTCCATTCTTGTCATTTCAGCATTCCCCCATAGGCTTCGTTAGAACAAAAGTCTCTAAGAAAAAATATCCTTTTATTGCAAAATCCACACACTGTATTCTGTTTTACCTCAACGGAAAGCGGTCTCCGTGTAATATACTGGATGCATATCAACCTACTCCCATCTGTTATAATTTCTTCAATCCAACACCGACCTTCATCACAAAACAATTAAGTTGGAAATCTATTGAAGACGTATGACACATTAGAGTATGTTGAAATACGTGTATGATTTCACGGCTCCACGCTCTGAGTCTGTGATCATATCTCATTAGATTGTGTGCTACTCACCCGTAGGAGGAGATTAGCAAAATCTCCTTTTCTCCTGATTTTGCGTCAACAAACTCCTTGTTTGATATGAATCTTGTTTGCAAAGATCAGCCTCTTCAACCGTAATGTGTAGCCAAGATTGTCGTTCGAGGAAGCGGCAGTAATCTTCGCTTTTTGAGAAAAGGATAAAGCTTAAGCTTATACTCAATAAGGCTTATGTTGTTACTTGTAAGAGCCTCGTCGATGTAACTTGTGTAGGAAAATATTTCTATAGCAGTAGATATCTAATTAGTGTAGTTAAATTGCCTGTTACCGAGGAAAATATCGCAATATAATTTTAATTTTCATGTCATCGCTTTACATATTCGTAGACACACTGAGCACATACGATTTTATACATCACAGACTAACAAATATTGCCTCATAAGCACACCTATATCTTACAGATACTCAAGACGAAATTGATTATGATTTCCACGTACTCCGAAAAATATGCTTTTATTTCATAACCATAGGATCCCATGTATTTAGGGCGGAATATTGAGGATCACCTCAATCCAGTCACGTCTGACCCTTTGATCTTACAGGTGCTATTTTATTTATTACACTTATGAAATAAATTACCTTTCTCTCCGAAGCAAGGGTAAGTGACCATTCTGATCCACAAAAGTCAAGATATGTTTATGAAAGGTCTGTTAATGTGTATTGACATCAATGTTATGATAATGTCCGTAATATGGTCGCCATAATATCGGTACATAATAATAATACATATAACGAGCACATACATTCAAGTCGATAGTCACCGAGTTATGGCCAACAATGATCATAAGATTACTTCCGAGAATGGATTTAGTTTGACCAATAATGCGAAGAAATAATAATAATGCCTCGTTGGCCGAGTGGTCGCAAGTGCGACTGCCGGGCAAGGGGTCTCGGGTTCGATTCCCGGGTCGGGCAAAGTATTACTGGGTTTTTAAAAATCTCAGTAGTAGCACGGAGTCTGGAATTGTGCCCGGTATATGGCAATAGGCTCACCCCCTATTACATGGGACTCATGACATAAATAGTGAAAAGTGGGTGTTACATTGTACAGTGGCATAATGTGCACCTCTGCCTACCCCTTCGGGGATAAAAGGCGTGATGTTATGTATGTATTATGTATGTAAATAATAATAATAATGTGGTTGTAAAGAAACAAAGGTGTTTCGTGGAAACGTATTAATGAGATGTAGTCCTTCCAACGGTTGGAAATACGCAATTGTGACTCTGTGTTCCGCAATGGTGAAAAAACATGATTACTCAATTCCAAGTGATTGATATGCTCGCCTCCAATAAAAGAACATAGATACTGTGTAGATGACTTGTGTGAATTCTATCAACATCATCATCAGCAAGTTTCTGTCCACTCCCGATAACTGCATATCACGCCACCGAACTTAATCTTCAGTTCCTTGCGTCCAAACACTACTAGTCACTTACTTAAGTCTTCACTCCACCTCGCTCGAGTCGTGAATAGAATGTTATTGTAATTGAAATAAGGTTTTAATTGCATCTAAGTAATGTTTTTTGCTAATAGAATCGTAGGAAGAAAAATAAGAATCGAAACCTTCAACAGTGTAATATGGTTATAACTTCAGAATCGATGGGAATTTCACACAGATACGCATAACCTTGACTTTTCCACCTCCACGTAACCAAGAAAATGTACTTTAGGGTCTTTAGGGAAAAAGGAAATAAAATTATCTTTTGATAGAAATCATGAAATAACCATCATTTCGACCGTAATCATCATATCTAAGTTTTTGGTGAAAACTTCGTACAACTAATGTCACAAATCGATCTCAAACCAAATATTTTGAATTGAGGTTTCCAAAACCGAACGGGTGCTGTCAACTAGGACTGATCAGTTCCAGACTGTATTAAATTTGTTGTCCTCAAGGTTAAATTTCCTTGTTCTTTCTCTTTGACTTAATGTTGGTGTTACATTGTTCTCACATAATTGAACCAACGAAACATTGCAACCAAGAATATCGTATTGTGAAACCGATTGAAAAGGAGTAGTAACCTTTGGAATTTCTTGCTCGTTCTCCTCCATAGGAATCTACATTTTGGAACGAGCAAATAGCTTCAATAAAGAACTGACTTACAGACTGACATTTTATTTAAATATTACAATATTTTGTTTTGACGTTCATAAATGCGTTCCTGGTCTAATTGAAATAAATGATTTTGACTCTTTTCACTCACAAGAGCAATCAGTTCATGATTAGATAATATCGTTATCTCAAAAAGGTGTCAATGCGGTATTTAACCTCAACAAGCCATGCACCCGGCGGTCGTGTGCCAATGGTCGTCGACTCGTGCGGCCCGTGCACGGCTTGTGCACGTCTCGTGACCGGTCGTCCGGCAACCGGCCGGGTCGTTGCGGCTTGCGGTCGACGACGGCTGAATGACGTCAGTAAATATGTAACACTTAGTTAGCCGAATCTATCTCTAATTAGTTTTAAATTGTTTTGTGACTTCTGTGATTTAGTGTTCAAAGCTGTAGTTTTCATTTTGAAACTAATTTGTTTTAAAGTTTTTAGTAAGTTCATAGTTTCTAGTCTTTAGTTTCTTGAGTTTTCTATGATCAGGGAACTGCAAATGTCTTGCATTCATTTGTAATCGAACTCATTAAATACTTCAGTAGAATTAGTTTTCGTGCCCCACTCAGTCAGAAGTAATTAATAAAAGAAGCTCGTTGGAGTGCCTCTCCAGCAATATTTCCATACATATTTTTCTTTCACGTCTTAATCCCTTCGAGCACGTAATGCTCTCGACTAGTTAATCCTCGTGCCATCGTCCCACGCTTCTCCAGCTACCCCGGAACCCTTCCCCTATGAAATACACATTCACACAAATATTGGAGCGAATAAATTGCGTTACCTAATTGTCTGCAGTTTCCCACCGTACGCCTGCCACGCGGCTATATCATACACCCTCAAATACTAACAACAACCTAAAATACACTCTACACACTCTATATCAAACTTTATTTTCGTATGCGCTATAGCAAAAATCAACTTTATAAATTTTAATATCGCTAAGTGACCCATAAATGCAGTCGAAACTTCCTTACCACAACGACATAACGCTGATATTCGCGAACTAAAAACGCAATTACAATCTTGGCTGAGAAAAAAATTACCAAGTTTACAACAACAATTTTTAAAACTCTTATCTCGTTAAGAATAAAGTGCAAAATCACTTGCAATGTCAGCAATAGTTATTGAGGGATAGATAAAGCGGTCTGTGTATGGGGTAGGTCGCTCAGGGCGGCGGCACACGAGGCGACACGGGGCGCCACGCGGCCACACACTCCGCGCCAGTCGCCCGGCGCGCGCGCACGTGACCGACCTACGTACACGATCGCACTCCTCAACCTAACTAACCAAGTTTCCGATGAAGACAAGTGATAACTGAAAAACTAGGCCAAGAAGAATTCAGTGACATTGTGTATTGAACTCAAGTGTTTAAAAGTTTTTGTGAATAATGGAGTACCACCACCGGCATATGGAGCAGCCAGGTCAGCTGCAGAACCAGTCGCAGTGGGGCTATGGCTGGGGACCACCAGCACCAGCTCCAGCTCCACCTGCGCCTGCGCAACGTAACAAGAGAACTCACTCTGAGAGTGAAGACGATGCCTTCTCTGAAGAAAGTAGTAAAGATGCGACGTGAGTACCTACACATTTCTTAGCAAATTATCAGATTCTCAAAGATAGGCTCAAGAAACAGTAACTTTAATTATTTGGCCAATTAACGCCCACCAGTAAAATATACAATATTATTTTGCAAGGTAAATATTACGAACGATTTTCTACATTTTAACGGCATCTTATGCCTAATTAAGTATATGAAAATTAATTGTATTACCCTTTTTTCTTAGTAAAAGTAATAGTACAAAAATTATGATATAAATAGTGAATAAATGTGATCCAATCAGATCATATATTATCATTTTCCGTCATGTAACACCGCGTAGCCCGCTACGTCCGCTCGTAGCAAACGCTACGAAATTACTGTGATATAACGTAACCCGTAAGCACGTTCGTATTTCAGTTTTTTGTAAAGGTGAGAAAAAAATTAACAATTTATCTGTTTTTATAGTAAACAAAGATTTTTTTCTAGATATAGTTAGTCAGTTGAAGGACAACGGACACAACAATAAAATAAAATCCTATAAAATATTTTCTCTTTAACATTAATAATATTTTTTGTATTTGGCCTACATTCAGGAGTAATCTGTCAGACTCAGGCATGCGCACAAATTCTTAAGAAGCAGCCCATTTTAATATCACAAACATTCGGAAGGTTTGCTCCAGATAGCGACGAACTCTATAATATTACTAAAACTACAGGAAAAATAACAATTTAACTTGTCTTTGCTAAACAAATATATTGTTAGAAGGTTACTATGACACGACAAACATACCAAGAAAACATTCTTATCGTCTGTCAAATTAATTTGCCCACAAACAGTTTATTTTATCAAAGAATTTAGTAAAACATGTCACTATCATATATGGCTTGCCTTCCTGATTAATAGCGGAAATTAACTAAACTGTCTACCTTTAATAAATAATATCTTTATTCTATAGGTATGTATGCGTGTAGTTTACATATTATATAACAATTAAGTTAACTATATTCTTCATGTTTAAAATTGTGTTCTGGCTTTGTATCAGCCGCTTCATTTCTCTGCCCTACCCTATGGTGGACTATGAAAGAATGCCTTAAGGCATTAAGTCCACCAATCATTTTTTTGTGAAGAAGCTAAAAATAAATAAATAAATAAACATTATACTTCCATCCATCCTCTTCATTAACATTTCAAACTTAAAACAAATTATACCTCTTTATCTAAAAGTCTATCTCCACGAATTCCAGGTCTCCAGGAGGTGACTCATGTCAGTTGATGACAAGGAAGCGCCGTCGAGGAGTCATCGAGAAGAAGCGACGGGATCGCATCAATACCTCGCTAACGGAACTGAAGAGGCTGGTACCAGCTGCCTGTGAGAAGCAGGGTAGTGCCAAGCTGGAGAAGGCTGAGATCTTACAGCTTACCGTGGACCACTTGAAGATGTTACATGCTAAAGGTTAGTTGGTTTTAAATTAATTATTATATTGTTTGTTGCTGTGCGTGTTACATTCTACAGTAGTATAATGTGCATCTCTGCCTACCCCTTCGGGGATAAAAGGCGTGATGCTATGTTATGCTATGTTGTTTGTTACTAAAAGGAATATGAGATCGTTCTTTCTTCTTTTTTACAAAAGAAAATGTAGTTTTTATCAGACAAAATGTCGGTTTTCAAATTCATTTATTGATACTATTCTAATTACAACTTACAATGGATTTTAAAGATAAAAATTCGGTGTAATCGGTTTAGTATTCTAGTTACAAACCCTGTCTATTCGAACAATTTATTTATTACTAAAAACTTCAAAGAAATTCAGGTCAAAAACAAGATCTATAGACACTAATAATTGAAATAGAAATATTCGATTTGAAAGGTTTTTAGGTCTGTCTGGAGGATGAATTTAATTTCAATATTTCTTCGGCTCAAATTCGAATGAAATGCGATAAAAAGTAAGAAATATTTTAATACAATATGAAGCCTAGTAAAGCAGGCAATAATGAACATTATGAGTGTTTACAAACTGTACTTGTAATGACTGCTCGTTGTTTCATAAACAAAATAAATGTTTACGTTTTCTTTCCTGAAATACTTAATTAACCGTCTGCAAAAAAAAAAACAAAGTTACAGCCTGTAAAGAGAGAAAGAAAATGAAATAAACAATCAAACAAATGCAAAAGTACTCTCAGTAAAAAAACAACATTAAAAAAATTGAATTCGAAAAAGTAAAAATTATGTCCGTTCCGTTATACCTCTACGTACGCAATAATTAAATTGTCAGGGACCTGCTTAATACGTTTCCGTTTCCTGCAAATTAATAAAAGATGCGACCGTAACGGTGATTCGCTAAAAACTTGTTAAAAAGCAAAAGCAGATACATTTGATTCGCTTTTCCTGTCCTTTGTGATTCCTGCAACTGTTCCTTTTGTAGAAATAGAAATTATAAAACAGGTTTCGCACCCTAACTGTAAATGATTACAATAAAAGCCGAATCACTTTTTACCAGAGTTTAAAAAAGAGTTACATTGTGTTATTCACTCTCGTCAGCTCTTTTCTGTCCATTTGTCTTAAATCCATCCTAAACCCACGACATAGGTGTTCTATAGAACTTCCTATATCAGTTAAGTTGTCATCTAAAAGAAGGCATGTCTTATTAGTAAGTACAATGTATTTTTTTTTATTAAGATATCTTGATAATGTTGCGTACATAGTATCCTAAAAAATGGACTTATTGTAATAAGTGAATATTTAGCGTCTGTTTCACCGCCTACATATAAGTACCTGATAAACTTACGTGACAGATAACTCATACTTACAAATTACGTCATTTTTAATTTGTCTGGTATATAGCGGCTATTTTTTTTTTATGGACACCTGGTACACCAGACGCGTTACAAGTGCGTTACCGGCTTTTTGGGGATTAGGAGTTTTAGGATCGTTGGGGATTTAGGGATTGGGGAGATTGGGCATGGGGAGGGTAATTGAGCCCCCGGTAACCTCACTCACACGACGAAACACAACGGTCGGTCTTCTGTGAAAACGTGGTATCACTCTGGTCGAGCCGGACCATTCGTGCCGAAGCATGGCTCTCCCACACTTAAAGGCTATCCAGACATTTTGAGAAAGACCCTTAGGGTCGATTTTTCAATCATCAGTTATAAAATAAAATTGACAGTTAACAATTTTTGTTAGGAAGAATTGTCAAATATTCAACATTATTTCTCTGTTAAAATTGACCTGAGCATTGAAAAATCGGCTCTTATTAACCAATTAATATAATCAAAGGTTGAATAAATCTATCCGTTGTCTTGTTCTCCATCAAAACAATATTAATTGGGTTTTGATCTCACTAATTAATTGATCCATATTTCATCGAAAATCAAGATATTGTACATTCTGTTTAATAAGAAATGTACCGAAGTTTGTTGTTATTTATTTTAATTAACGAGGGCAATGACCTCGTTTTATTGTGTTGTACTTTGATGAGCATCTTTGGCCTAATTGAGAAACGTATTTGACTTGACGCACTTATCGGTACAATTGGTTTTTCAATTTTTCATAGTAGTAATGAATGTTATTTTACTATGATCCTCTTTTTATATTTGTCTGTAGTTTTGAAACGAGTTTTAAGCTAGGTATGTGTGCCCCCGATCATACAAAAATCACTATCATGAACTTCCTCAAAATTTTCAAATAAATAAAATGCGCAAAATCTTCAGTTATTTATTTTAAACTTACTTCTATCAATAAATTAGGAACGCAGTTTTAATTTACGAGGTTACTTATAAACAAAGTCAGCTGTTTCACAATAATAGCGCTATCTCTGTCATCGCCAAATGGTCTCTTCCACATGTTCCCACGGGTCCCTTCCGGGTCCATGCGCGAGCAGGTGGACCCGCAACAGTTTTTATAACACCCTGTAAATGATCTTGTGGAGATAAAAAAAAATGAGTTTGCATTGTAACCACGTTGAAATTGATACTTATTTTTCAAGGGAAGTTAATTAAAATCTATTCAAGTAGAATTGTTAACATTGACCGAACTAAAATGATTGTTTAAGATTATTTATTGATGAAAAGATTTCATTTCAACCACAACTGTGAAGGTAATCTTTGTATTATTCAACATGTCCTTTAAGACAGGCTATAGTCACCGTTGCCTAAATTAAAAACAATATTTAAAAAAAATTAAAGATAATAGACCCATCCTTCCGTTTCAACGGAATCTGTGGTATTCAATCAATTTGTGGTTAAAATTTAACTTCAAAAGTAGTTCACCACTCACCGTATAGTTCTGTGTACGAAAAACCGCATCCTCCTCAGTTTGAAGTAGTTTCCGGCCACAATTGGACTGACTGTCGTTCACTCGTGACCATGTCCGCCAATGAAAGGTCAGTACTACGACAAACTGAAGATTTAATGCCAGCACCACACACTCGCGCTAGCACTTATGAGACGAGGTACATTGCAATGTTAAAATGCGAAAAGGACTACAGCTATTTAAGAATAACGGCAAAGTATTTCAACCCGTTTTGACTTGCTAGAGAGTGTGGTGCCGGCATAATATGTGCGGTAAAACTTTTACATGTAACTTTTCTTATTTGAAGAACTTTTCTTGTCAGATGCGCAATTCGGAAAATCTGCTATTAATATTTATTGATATTCTTTTATCGTATTCCGGGTTTTGTGAAACAGAAATTCCGAATTGATAACTTATGGTCATAAGGGTACCATAGTCGGAATCAGAACTTGTTATCAAAGGGTTTTTTATAACCACAGTTAACCTTTTTAGTTACCGCATGATATCGAATAATGTGACACACACCTCATCAAATTCCTATCGATTTCAACATTGACACCCTATATCAACCGTATCAATATTCCTTTACTAGCCCCATCTCTTTTTCCCACACGCGGCGCGAGTGAGACAAAAACTGGATCAGCACAATCCTGTTAGCGACTTCCTGAGTTTTTGTAGGCGCCAGGTGTGACGTAAATGATGCGTACGCGCAGGCGGTCAACAAATAACGCTTACTGCCCATATGGGCTTTGTGTGGTATCCGAGTAGATATTTTAATGTGTTTTTAAATAACTTTTGAATTTGGTACATTACTATAGTTAATGCTTTAAAAAAAAGTTGTGGGAGGACGGAAAAGGACGTATTGTAAATCATTGAGTAAGGTATGGTTTTGACTTTTATTATTTAACTCGAGTACCTACCAATAGGTATAGATAAAATAACACACATAAGTATAATGAATAGGACTCAATATAGATAAAATAATAACATATAAAAGCATAATTGTAAAACCAACTCAATAAAAATAAATACAAACTACATGAAGCATAGTTTCCGTGCAAAAATCTATAAAATTAATTCACACACCCCCACATCAGATTACAAAACATCAATCAATCAGTAACACAGTTTATACAGGGTGTGTGGGAACTGTGTCCCGCGCCGCTCTCACCCTGCTAGCCACTGAACGGCAAGGGATGGTGATAGTGACCCCGAGGGGGAATTAATCGCAACTTATGTTACTGTGATTGGGGATTAAGGGATTGTGATTATTGTGGGTGAATTAGGTATCTATTATTTCTCGCGTGGGAATGGGAAATTAGAGCATTTAAAAACTGAGTATTTAAAATATCACTAAAAAAATTGGTGAGTGTTTCAAACAAACTTACTATAGTTTTGTCCCATGGTAGTTTGGAAGATTTCTATCAAATACAAAACTTTGAAGTTACGTGGTTCATTCCTACCGGATCCACCAATATCTCTCGAACATATAATTACACCCATTTCTTTCTATGACAAAAAACTAAAACCTCTAAATCTACATTCTTACCGTGCAGTCACGTGACGCATGCATTGTGTACCACGTGACAAGCGGAAGCGATTCTAACGCAAAGGGTTGTCGCACCTGCGCCTGCGCTCATACAAACAAAACGATCCTAGGAAGGAGGAAGTGAACACAATTGTATACTTCAGTAAAGATGTGTGCACAAAAAGGTCGATTTAATTTTAATGTGACATGGATTTGTAAAAAATACGATACATTTTTTTAAACAAGCTGTTGCCCACAACTTTGTCTGCATAGGGGGATAAAAGCCCTTTTACCTAGGTTAGCCCATACCCTGGCTGTATACCATATTTCATCAAAATCCGTTCAGTAGTTTCAGCGTAATTGACGACCAAACATGCAAACAGAGAAACTTTCATTTAATATATTAGTGTGATTTCACAGACAAACAACAGATTTTTTACAAAAATAAATAGCAATAGAAACTAGTAAAAATATAGGTACTTAAAAAAATAAAACATTTTAAAATCCTACGTTGATAAAATATTCTTAATGACTATCCGAAAAACACAATACATTATACCAATTCAGACATATGTAGAATAAATGTATCCTTAAAAACTACAGGCTGAATTCTAATATTATTTTTGTTCAAACCTGTAGCCACTGTATATTGCAGTCGGCAAATAATAAAAAACAAAGTAGGTAAACCATAAAGAAACGCTACACGGACGACGCATAAACATGAATAAGAGATTAAACTGGTTAAGTGATTATAAAAAATTGCTTGCAGACAGTTTTCTTTCACCCTTCGGTCTCGTGGCCCGGTGGCACACTGGCAGCACCACACACCCTGACCTCTCACTCATCAATGAAATACCTTTTTTCTCGAACATCTTGTTAACAATCCCAAGGGTCGGAGAGCTCATCTTACATTTGTCTCCGTCCCTATCGGAAGACGACCGGAAACTTGGGGTTCCCGTTACCAATACTACGGTTTTGCATCCCCTACACACATGACCAAATGTGTATCTGCCGTCTCTTTCTTATTGCACAATCACAGGGGTGACTGAAGGGTCGTTTCCAGAACTCAATTCTCTTTATCCAGAGGCACCATTGTCTAATTCCTATTTACATGTAAAATAACATCTGCAGCGTCCGATGAGTTAAAAAGACCAGAAAAATACTTCAATACGAACTTAAAACATCGTAGAAACGTTTATAAATGTCGTTAATTATTCTAAATGAAACATGCCGCTTTCCCCTCGAGCACACTATTTAAATTTTCAAGCAAACAGCGTGGAGTGGAATTAATATTATATACGATTGCGTCATACAACAATGTGACCATTAAGTTATGTGTCTAACCTCTATTTTCCTTTGTTTCAGGACTCGATACATTCGCTTATGACCCCCAACGCTACGCCATGGACTACCACAACATCGGGTTTCGGGAGTGCGCAGCTGAAGTGGCGCGGTATCTCGTCAGCTGTGAAGGTTTAGATATTCAAGATCCATTACGACTTCGTCTTATGAGCCATCTCCAGTGCTTCGCAGCACAAAGAGAATTAGCTGCAAAATCAACAAACTGGGGCTATCCTCAGTACCCTACAACACCAGTACCTCAGCCGCAACATGGGTACACAGACCTGGGAGGACCAAGGCAAGACATACCAGTGACATCAGCAGCGACCACAGTCGCAGCACCTACTGCCATGTCAGCAATAGCTGCTCCCTTAGCTGCTGCACCTAGTTATCCTCACTACCCAGCGCCTCCTGCACCTCCAGGACCACCTGGTCCGCATCCTGCACCTCCAGCTCCTCACTACCCTACTCCATACCCTCACCATCCACCTCACCACCAGTATTCCCAAAACAGTTCGAAGCCCTACAGGCCGTGGGGAGCTGAACTAGCTTATTAGGAGTGTACAAATAATGATACTTATCAGAATTATTGTCTTGTGGCTGGGTGACAAAGAATGAGTACATTTCAGTGGTTCAGCGAAACATTTTGCTTTCAAAGGCGATGTCACTTTGCACTTACCACGCAGAACGTAAGAATTTCTTTAATGTTGTGCTTGAAGGGGTTTCAAGAGTCCACTCAAGTACTTTGACCTTTTCTTGCAATACTTTTGACCCCGTCCTCCCTCCCTCTTTCTCTCTAAACCCATTTTGTAAATGGTGTTTTAAGAAATGAAGTGTACTCACAATGACTTACTGTGAGTTTAATTATTACATTTCTTTGTTTCCTTGCCGCAGGACCTTGTTGTAACGATCTCAGAGTTTAAAATATCTAAATTATATTTTTGGAGACTGTACGTAATGTTGTAAAATATTTTTATATAAAGCAGTATTTTGTAAGTTGTGTGATAGTTATATATTATATTGTATAAGTTTATTGCCAGTCACTATATATAAATGTATAGATGTATTTTGGGACCAAAAACTGAGCTTTAAATATATCGAATCGAAAGAAGTTCCATTTCGATATAAGGTTTCCTATTTTTGAAATCAATATTCTAAAAATGGTACTTTTAATAAATAGAATCTAAATAGTATCTTATGAGAAAAAGGTTGTGAAGTTATCAACGATTGTCCAAATCTTGTGAAATATATAAATCGAATAGCTTATTGCCTATTGGCTGAAATGTGGTGCACGAAATCAATAAATTCATAAGTAAAAATTTCATAATTTCGACAGGAAAATAATAATGTTGCATACAAAACGTAAAAATTATGGTATGGTATTGTACTAGTGAAGAGATATACATCATCTATTGACGTAAAAAACAATACAGTAATTAAATGATTCCGTGCACCATAATGTACATATCATGTAAATAGCCGTCGCTTGCGGAAAAGAGAAAAAATAAATTATTTTCGAACAGTATACTGCACTCGTTTTAATGGCCCAACCCTTTGCACCTGTAATTAAAAGTAATAAACTTTTTATTTTAACGGATTCGCCATTTGTCGCATAAATTAGCGATAAACATCGCACAGGTGTTACAGTACGGTCCCGAGTCCCGATGGACACATGCATATACCATGGGGTCATATTGACCGTCCCACTTCAATGATCCTATGGGATATCGCTACCCCTGTGGTTCCCACGACTTCTCTCTCGCTCCCTCATGTGAAGTTACAATCGGTGGTCTCTTTCTAACTGTGGTACTTCCGTAGGAAGACGCAGGGTGCAAAAACGTGACGTTTTTTAATGTTCGTGTGTGTGCCGTGTGGCAGGGTTTAGGAAGTAGGTGGGTACGAATGTGGTTTAATAGCGATAAAGGTTTCGTCTTCCTTTTTTTCTTTTTCTTTTATGAGTCGAGAGTAATTGGATATGTTAAAAATTACGACTTGGAATTTATAAAAACTGTGCGTAATGCGATATAGTATTAAATTGATTACGTGTGTTGGTCGTGGTGGGACTACTGTTATTATTAAATGAGTATAAGTCGCCAATAAGCTAAATAGAAAAATGTAATCGTTTGTGTTTAAAGGTTTATATTGTTCTCAATAAAGAGAAACAAATATTCACTGAGGTAGGTACCTGAGAAACAGCAGATAAATGAAACAATGATAATGAAAACTTAAAAATTCATCGTTACCACAATACACATCTGATGCTTTCGTTTATTTACTTCAAAAAAAATTGGTTGTTTAAAAACAACCTCATTTATGCCGGAATACTGAAACGTTACTCAATTTTAAGTCGTGCTTAAATATCGTGCCATCTCTGTCATTTTACTAAGAATTAGTGGTGACAGAACTATACTTAAGCGTGACTTAAAATTGAGTAACGTTTCAGTATTCGGGCATTAATAAAACTAAAACAATCATAAATAATGAAAACTAAAATCAAATAACAGCACAACCGTAACTTGATACCCTTCAAGTTTAAAGAGAACTTGTCCTCGATAGAATGGGCCTCAAAACATTCTAATAAACACAAGGACTATTGGAAGAAAAACAATAAAACGTGGCAAATATTTAGCAAAACAACGTCAGTAGAAGGTCGAGAGTAATCTTTGCGTAAATAAGTATCAGGTGTCTACATTCCATCATGGAGAGGGAAGAATGAGAGAAGAAATATAAATTGTTTAACTGTAAAGGAGATTAAAATTATACCTAAAACTATTTTGTAAAAAAAGGGGCTCCAAATTACGATTTTCACATACACATGACACCCAGACCCGGAGCGGAACACTTATGGATTACACGAAGAATGGTTTCGTACGGAAATAAACCTAACCATTATAATGTATGTGCAGTAGTCAGTTGCCCAGTCACCTACACAACCGAGACATAAGTGTCTCTGACTACTCTGAAAAATAACACCGGTATTTCTTTTTTTATGATGAAGGACCACCTGATGGTAAGCAATCGGCGTCGCCCATTACAGCCGCAACACCAGAGGCGGGCGTTACAATTTCGATGGCTTTTTTTAGGGGGGAAAATCATCGAATGACTTCTCCCGCCTCAGTGAGGCGGCAGAGAGTGTCAGACTCTTACTGAAAAAACCACCCCGTTCCAACTCCTGCACTTCAAGCCGGAGCCCCGGCAACCCGTTAAGTCGTCCGGGGCTCCGTATCGGCATCAGCCCTATTGGGCCCCATCTGGTTGATGGCTCTTTGAGGCGCGTGGGTGAGTTTAATAAAGAGGTTCAAAAGGTCTTTACCAAACACGTTAAAAAAGGCTCTTGGCTACTAGACTTACTACTTGGCCACTAGACTTACACGCAGAATACACACACATTAACACCAAGGACATCTGTCGCGTGACCTTCATGCATTACGGCGTTGCAAGTACACGCACACATAGATACATCACTGACATTTTAGTGCTTCAAACATTTCTAAGTGACATAACGTACGCCTTTTTTCAACGCCCTTGGGTCTATACAATAGAAAAATGTAATGACATTTTAAATCATAATTAGTCACCTACTTTGAAATTCAAACTTGGAGCAATTCTAAAGAAGGCTACAACAAAAAGTTCACAATCAGGTGTTGCCCCCTAGGGTGTAGCCACGTTTAATAAAAAAAAAAATTAAAACAGCAGAATAATAGGTAAGTACTTAAAATATAAATGCGTAGATGTTTTCCATAAACAAAAAAAAGGAATGCTACCTAATGTAATTTAAGCAAACGTTATAAAAATAAATATTCAAATCAGATCGAGTCGACTCGAAAAATATGTACGATGACGTCATTACAAGTTCATTAAGATTGTTTTCTTTCCAGAAGGTAAGAATATTATTTGTTTGTGTTAATTAGAGTGGACTGCGCCAACATTCCTGACGGCGCACATGTATCGTGACGTCACAACATGGCGTGTGACATTAGTTCTGTGCCGTAAATATGTAAATACTGTGCGGCCGTGTGTGGCAGTATGTAAATAACTAATAAATAAATGTGAAGGGTTAACGTGGACACAATAATAGCTTTTCTTTGTTAAGTTTCTTGTAAGTAAGTATACATAAAGTTACAACTATACTTTACACCCTCTAGAAAGGATTTGAGTAATGGAAAGATAGAGAGAATTACTAAAAAGTAGCACTGAACATATGCAAAGAGAAGGAGTGAGTGCGCTGCGCGACGTCGTCGCCGCGACCGCGCACGCTGCTCATGAGGAAGAACCCCTCTGTGGTTCGAAACTAGTAGAGCTTTTCTCAGTATATTCACGTGAGTAACCCGCGTTTTTACTTAATTTAGTATGTCTCACGATAGTTATTATAAAAACAAAGAGAAGGAATGCATGATGAGATGCCATATTCTACGCGTATACATATATTCAGTGCCTCGTTGGCCGAGTGGTCGCAAGTGCGTCCTTCAGAATTATGCGAAAATAAACTTTTTGTTTAGGTAAAAACCAGTAATTTTCGGTATAGAAGTTCATCTTGTTAGCCACATAACATTCTCAGACTTTTCTTCCCTATTGACTTCCAGGCAGATCAGTACTAGTACTAAAAATATTTAAAACGCTCGTTTCTTCCCCTCGCTTCCTAACCTGCCGTCTCTTATCGCACTTATAACACACAATTAGTTAATGAGTATCAATAATTAAGATATATACAGCAACCCTGCGCGCGGCACGTAAAGCGCCACGCTACGTGACAGGCGCCGCGTCACTACATATTTAAATAGTTACAATAGTAATGTCAGTACCTAATATAATATAGTGAATGTGCTTTAAATTTAAATGTCAAAGCCATTTTTTTTGTCCCTTTTCTATTTAAATATATAATCTGTAATGCCCACACCTGCCGTAACACATGACGCTGGCAGAATAGTCAACTACTAAATAGTGGAGACTCAATTGCCATAGAAGAAAAAAAAAAAAAATAATAATAATAATGTCGCTAACTAATACTAGACCATTACTTACAAATAATAGTGATAAAGCTTTGATAGGTATGGAGGAACACGGGGCTTACTCTTGAATCCAATTCCGATCGATCGACATTGGTATTGTGAAATTTCGTACTCTTGAGTTGCAACAAATTATTGCCAAATTAAAAGTACCCTTAACCGACGAGCATGCATGAAAAACGATGACGGTTGATGAAGCGAAAGAGGTATCTAGGAATCGTAGTAGTTGGCGTTCCCTAGTCTCTACCTACCCCCATGGGAGACAGGCGTGAAGTTATGTATGTGTGTATGTATGTATGAGTTGCAACACTATCGCCCATTGCATCCGTATTGCGTAAGAATATTGAATGAACTAAATGGTATTAAGTTTGGCTTTATATTCCGTACTCTGAATATTATTATAACACCTACGATAGGGGTTTTATAATGTTGACATTGAATAGTTATTGAGATTTTATTGGATTGAAATTGCATTGACATTGAGATTGGTTTCAAGAGTAAGCACCCAGTTCTTAGAAAGTCTTTACTTTTTAAAGGTAACTAATAGTACATTTTAAACATAGTAAGCAATGCGTAGGAAATTCTAGATCGACTTGACTGGAGTGATACCACGGCAGACTTGAAACGACGACACTTGCGTTGTCATTCGCCGTCTACGTGAGGTTAAAGGTGCCATGATACTGTGAGAGTGTCAATTGTACTAATATTATAGATGCGAAAGTTTGTATATTTGTTACTCTTTCACGTCAAAGCGGCTGAAGGGATCGAAATGTTTTGAACACGGCGGGCTAGATCATGGTCTGGTTTAACACATGGGCTACTTTTTATTCCTCGCGGCCGAAACCCCACAGAAGCTAGTCAGTTACTTAAGTAATTAGACCTCACATCATCAAATTCATTTGGTTTTTAAGAATATGCAGTGGCTGCTGAAAGCAGGTCGCTTCTAAACGGCCTATCTGGAAGATATTGGGGGAGGCCTATGTTCAGCAGTGGACGTCCTGTTGCTGATATCATGATAATGATGATGAATTACGCCTACGTATCATAAACGTGTCTTCTATTGTAAATTAGTATTTCTGACTAAATAAATTCTTTAGTAAGTACTAAGAAGCACGATCACCGCCCGTGACCTTCCCTCATAGCACCCAAAATGCGTATTTTCACTACTACGAATCACTTCACTAAACTTTATTTCACTTTAATTACAAACTCGGCGACAAATGACGTCACTACACGAATTTTACGCAACACGGGATTCGCGGGAAAAATTGGAGACGCGTGATTCAATACGTAATCGAAATTGAAAAGTAATTGAAAACCAACTGGCCTCGGGACGTGGAGGTAGGAACTGGGGACCAAACGTGCCAATGTCATGTTGATGTTATATGATATATCATACAGAACGGGCATGGAATTGTGAGGATGGATTTCAAAAATTTAAATCATATGATCCAAAACAACATTAATTATTAAGTTTTGGGCTTACCCAC